CCCCCCATCACTCAGGGCCAGGAGTGACGTACAGACGTGCACCTACTGGAGAGCGCCCATCATCTGGGAGGAAATGTTTGACCCTCAGTTTTATGATGAGATGCACAAGAAACAAGGTTCTTCTGTGGCTCTGACCGTGTTCGCAGTCGGCAGGTGGGTTAACCCCCGGTCTGCACCACTTCACCGCTACCGTTGTCACGGCAACCCTTTCACCTTACGTCTTAACACCTAACGACGGGAGCCAGTACTGCGTAGAACTTGTCTGTCCCTCTGGTTCCACAGGTACCTGGACGCCTACCTCAGCGACTTCCTGAACTCCTCGGAGCGGTTCTTCATGGTGGGTTTGCCCGTGACCTACTACGTGTTCACAGACTTTCCAGAGAAGGTGCCCAAACTGAACCTTCCCGCCGACCGCAGCCTGAAGGTGATCAGGGTGGAGAAGCAGGCGCGGTGGCAGGACGTCTCCATGATGAGGATGAAGACCATCTCCGACTTCATCCGGTCGGACATCGGGCGCCGCTGCACGCACGTCTTCTGTTTCGATGTGGACCAGGTGTTTAACGGCAGGTTTGGCTCCGAGGCTCTGGGAGACTCCGTGGCTCTGCTCCACGCGTACTACTACCGTCTGCCAAAGGTGATGTTCACCTACGACCGCAACCCCAGATCCAAAGCCTTCCTGAACACCGGGGACTTCTACTATCACGCCGCGGTCTTTGGAGGGAAGTGTGAGAGCGTGAAGGCCATGGTGGACGCCTGCTACCAGGGCATCATGGAGGACAAAAAGAACAACGTGGAGGCTCTGTGGCACGACGAGAGTCACCTGAACAAGTACCTGTGGGTCCACAAACCCAGCAGGGTTCTGTCCCCGGAGTACTGCTGGGACCCTCTGATCGGCAACAGCAGTGACATCCGCGTCCAACGGCTGCTGTGGAGACAGAAACAGTACCAGGAACTACGGACACCTTAGTCCAAACTGTACTTCCTCTTGTCTTCAGGGACACAGGATGTTTTCCTGGGAGTGGGCGGGGCTTTGTAAATGGAGTTACTGTATTTAATGGTAAAACAAATCTGTATTTTCATGAATAAAAATATTATATGTAAATAAAGTGTTCAACCATCCTGGTGTGGATGATTATGACTCTCTCTCTCTCTGTCTGTCTCTCTGTGTGTGTCTCTCTCTCTCTCTCTCTCAGATTGTGGATAAGTCATGAGGGTGAGGTGTTGTTGCTCCACCTCACAGACATGACAGGACTTGATGAAACCACAGGAAGACAGAGTTCTTTACTGAGCTGTGGTTCAGACTGTGTGTGTGTGTGTGTGTGTGTGTGTGTGTGTGTGTGTCAGTCAACAACCTGGGGTTGATTGGGAAATGAAAGCCTTCAAACCAAAAAGAACCGTTTGTTTGTTTGAGAAGAAACAAGTTTCCAGGGACAGGTTCAGTGACTCCAACTGGGTGGAACAACTGAGAAACAGAAATATATACACACACCCCCCACCCCCCCCCAGGCCCCCATGAAAGAAGTGAAGGAAGGAAAGTGAACTACTTGTCATCGTGACACAGCTCTGCTAACTAACCCGCTCAGCACTGGTCAAAAAACATCTGGTCTGAAGAAGACCAAAAAACTGGACTGAAAAACAACATCAGCAAAATATAAAACACAGTGACTTACAGTGGGGGGGGGGGGGGGGGGGGCCCGACCCGCCTTTTTAAGGTATGTTTTGACTACGCGTTTTCCAGTTACTGGTTTCACTGGTCTTCACAGCCGTGCTGCCTGACGTGGAGAGAGGGATGTTACGATAAACTCACAATATAATTTTATTAAAAATGTTTCAACAAAGTGATGTCCAGACAAACAGCCCTCTGGTATCAGTGGAACTGTTTCCTGGGGTGACACGGGGGCAGATGAACAGACTGCTGTTGGTCTACAGTGTTGACTGTATCTGCTGTGAGTCTTCACTCTGTCTCTGAACACTACACCCTCTACTGGGCTGACGATGATTCGGTTTTAGATTTATTCACTGCTTTTCTGCATAGTACCGTCACCAGGAGCAGCTGTTCAGCTGTTTTTAATAAACTTTGCAATGTAAATAAACGGTGACGTTGACCTTGGGGGTGATCCCGGTTGTTCCTTCTACAACACGTCGGTCTTCAGGGGAACACTGTCTGTCTGTCTGTCTGTCTGTCTGTGACTCTGAGTCAGGAGCCCCCTGCTGACACGAATATTCAGCTACGCCTTGAACACAGGCTGTAGACAATGTGTCAACGCTGTTGCCTGCGGAACACTGCCCTCTGCTGAAGAAGTGTTGACTGTTCAGCCACCAATCGTAAACGCACGGATACACCTGTTTATCCGATAAAGACAAAATACTTTTGGACGAGCGGAGAGTTACCTCGCTTTACAGCAAGGTAAGCACTGGTTCGAACCCCATAGATTTATGGCCTGGTTGTAGCATGTTAGCATGTTTATTACAGATGTTACAACTTCCGCCCATAATCAAAGAACATGCAGTTTGAGAATAGGATTAATGATTCACTCTAAATTAACACAGGTGTGAATGACAGACCCTGTAATGGATCGGCTAACTAGCCTAGCATAGCCTAGCCTAGCCTGTGATCGTCCCTCCCTCCCCATCATGACCCGGTCAGAGTTGATCAAACGTAACATAAATACATGTATGAATGTATTAGCCTTTTTTTCTTCCCATGATCCTTTTCAATAAACGTACGATTCCGTCTTATTGTCGTTATGTTTTTAACTCTGTATCCAATGACGATTACCTGCATTCACCGCTAAACGGACTGAACATCGAGTTTATTACAGAAACAACTCATAAAAGAACACGATACAGGAAGTATTTTTACAGTAAAAAGCTTTGGGTATTCAGTATCACTTAATAACGCTGTATAAAACTTAAACGAACGTTCGTGTTACCTTCCATTGGCGGGAGGGCGGAGGGTTCGTGTCATTGGTCTTTAAATAAAAACATCGCGCGACTTCCCTTTTTAAAACAATCTCTTTTTATCTTTGTATCATCGTCTAAACAGTGTTCTTTTCTATGCATTCTCAGATGAAAACGAACAGGCTGATATATGAACTTATAGAAGTATTTATTATAAAACCGCCTGACAGTTAATAGAGTTTTTACAGTGTCTATCATGCCATAACATAGTACATGTAAAATGATTAAACAACTAAGTTGATTAGAGTTGTAACAAAGTTAAGGCTTAATGTTTATAAAGTCTTTATTCAAAGTCTTTACCTATAAAACAAAATAAAAAAGGAATATTTAAATATGATTTATCATTCGTCTTCTTTGTTTTTTAACAGTGGACGTTTTTTCAGTCAGTGAGAAAAGTCAAATATTTCGTATGCCTGCCAATGGAATCCTCAAAGTAAAACCCTGCGTAGTTACTGCATTACACATATTTTTATCTTAACCCGAGGTATTTTTAACATCCTCCTGTGTACCTCAGAAGAAGAGTTTTGTTTTTGTTGTTTTTTTTAAACTTTTTTCACTATTGGAAAATCCTTCCTTCACTGCCTGTGTTAATTTTCACCACGTGATCGGTGAAATATGCAAACACTGAAGAACCTAGTGGCACAATACTGCACACAGTACACACAGTACACACTGATATTAAAGCATTCTTCTACGGAGTTCAGCCGCCCACTGAGCTAAAGGAAAACTAACTCTGATGTGAACGTGAACTCCCAAATACTGAGTAAGGAAAATAAAGGAGTGTATAAAAAGTCAGGTTATACTGCGTGGTCAGGTGACGTTAAAAAAAGAGTTTCTACGTAGCTGCCCAGGGCAAAAAGATTCTTTTGTTCTTCTCTCACATAGAAAAAGATTTTTAGGCCTGTAGTGTCCAGGCTGAAAGTGCTGAGAAATCATCTTTGGACGTCCCCGATAATACTTACTGGTCTGCACGAAAACACTGAACCACGCACTCACTCTCAGAGCACGTCCTCAAAGACCGGCACACTTTGAAACCCATCACTGGGTTAAAGTCCATGCGTGGAATGCACAAGTTTCTCCTCCCCGATGAGACCGAGGAGGCCATCAGATGAGGGCGATCCGGAGGGGGAGGTTGGGAGACTCTGTCCGGTGCTGCGGCGAGTGATGGACCATCACGTGATCCACCATGGCGTGCTTGGCCAGGTGCTTCATCAGGTACGTCTCCTGGGGAGGAGACAGGAGACCACATGGTGTTACAGCGCACCCTGCTGCTGCTGGAAGGTAAAAAACTCAGACTCTGTAGTAACTGTGTGTATTTTCATCTCACTGAGGTGTACGCCCGGCCGCACATACTGCAACAGAACGCTTTGGCGTTTTTGATGGCGTGCGCAGACAGGTGGATCTGCAGCGAGGCGGAGTCTGAATAGGCACGGAAACAGTTGGAGCACTTGAAGGGTTTGTCTTTGTTGTGCTGCCTCTGGTGAGACTAGAGGAGGATCAGGGAAGTACAACCAGTCATCAGTATCTGTCTCCGGGCTCTGATAACATTTTTGTCATTTCATGATTTTCATTTGTGTGTTAGAGTTAGCATGAGGCTAACTGTGCGTAGTTAACACAGTCAGCTAAACAGAGAGTGTGTCTTAAAGTTCTGCTCCGGTGACTAAAAACCAGGGCTAGAAATACTATTCACTGACACCAAAACAGCTGAGGCTCTGACTGTGATATCAGGAAATACACAGTAACAATAGTAATACACAGTAACAATAGTAATACACAGTAACAAGACTCACCTCAGTACAATGGATGCAGTAAAACTTTTTTAAGAGGACACGACGTGTGACAAACAAAGGAAAACAACAAGATGCAGATTAAGAAGAGACCGTCCAGTCCAGTCCAGTCCAGTCCAGTCCAGTCCAGTCCAGTCCAGTCCAGTCCAGTCCAGTCCAGTCCAGTCCAGTCCAGTCCAGTCCAGTCCAGTCCAGTCCAGTCCAGTCCAGTCCAGTCCAGTCCAGTCCAGTCCAGTCCAATACGGTCCAGTCCAGTCCAGTCCAGTTCAGTCCAGTCCAGTCCAGTCCAGTCCAGTCCAGTTGGTTTTTACCCCAGTAACCAACATGAAGGCGTGTTCACCTGCAGGTTGGAGAGCTGAGTGAAGGCTTTCCCACAGGCCGGGTGGGAACATTTGTACGGTCTGTCGCCTGTGTGGATTCTGAAACAGAGAAATCACAGAGCTGACAGACAGCTTCACCGTGACAGTCGGGTGATCTGACTGAAACACTGCCCCCACCTGGTGTGCTGCTGCAGGTGGGACAGCTGGCGGAAACACTTCTCACAGTAGGAGCAGCGGTACGGTTTCAGGCCCAGGTGGATCCGCAGGTGCTGGGCCAGGTAAGCCGAGTTGGTGAAGGTCTTGGTGCAGTGAGGACACTTGTGAGCCTTGGCCTCGGTGTGTGTTTTAGAGTGAATCTGCATGTCCGACTTGGAGAAGAACGTCAGAGGACACACTTTACACCTGCAGGGGGAGACAGAGGCACGAGAAAGCGTGGTTCCATCAACTTCTGGTCAGACGTCTGGTCAGTGTCTGGGGCTGTGAGAAAATATATACTTCCATCTATTGATCAATAGATGGCAGTATTAAGTTTCACTATGCCCTGTACCTTCCTTGACATTTTTCCATATGAATAATTCCATCATTTGAATCAGTCACTGATAAAAAGGTGAGAAACACTGACACCTGTCTGCTGTGAATCAGATTAAGTAACACGTTTCTTCTACTTTACCTGAGAACAGAGAACACGTCCTGACTCACCTGTAGGTCTTCCCCTCTTTGGCACTGATGGTCACACAGTCGTTGCCCGAGGCCAGGATTGGATAAGGAACCACAAACAACGAGGAGCCGTTCTCTGCTTTGATCTTCTTACGGCTTCTCTGTTCCTTCGGCGGCGGTCCGAGGAGACCCACCAGGCCGCCGTTGTTTTTCCCAGGATCCATACCATGGCTGTGGGCCAGTCCGGAGATGAGGTGGGGGGTCGGAGCTCCGCCCACACGACTGTGGCTGTTTGAGGTGGGGGTGGTGGATTCTGAGGTGTTGAGGTTGCCTGTTCTGGATGCCAGCGCCACCCCTGGTGGAGAGAGGAAGAGTCCATCAGCCACAAAAACATTCGCGTTCACGTTCACTAAATAGATTCTGTGGCCGTGGTCAAAGCTCTGTGTTACCTGAGATGTGATTGGCTCTGGAGGGATGATCAATAAGTTGGCGCAGATGCCAATCTTCCCATAATCCTCTGGCTTTTAGAGCTGCTTTATCGTCAAGATTCAGGTTTACATCGCCCAGAATCCGACCTGGTGAAGAAGTGAAATCAAAAGTCAATCCCAGTACGCAGCCTTCACCACAATCACATGCTTCTCTGCCACTCCTGACTTTTAACACAGAACCCAGTTAGTGTGTAGGCGCCCGTCACCCCCCCCCCCCCTCAGATGAAATGGTTATTTCTTTGAGCGGACTTTAACAGTGAAGTCATAAAGTTCTAAGACCGATGTTATCTTTGATATCAGACGACAAAGAAGCAGGTTGTCAGCTGGCGCCAAAGACTTTTTTATTGTAATATTTGTGTCCATTTACCTTTAGTGACGTTGACATTTTAAAAACCTCTCGCTCACCTGTGACGGAGCTCGAAGTGGGGCGGGCGTGCAAAGCGATGTCAGGCTGAGACGAACTGTGGTTGTGGAGAACATGCATCTGCTGGGCTTTGGTCATCCCCTGCTGCCCACTGTCCACCTGACCGGGCGGAGCCAGCAAGGGCTGCTGGGACGGTGCAGAGGCAGCGGGAAGGTGGGGGGGTCTGATCTTCTCCGCCATCAGCTGCTCCTTGATTTTATTGATCAAGACTAGGTTATCCAGCTGACAACCAGGAAACAACATTTGTGACAAGAGAACAGACACTGTCAGTTCAGTCAGTGTCAGTTCATCACACCATGGCTCCCTCTACTGGCTGACATGAGAAACTGTCACAAACACAGTATGACATGATCCTGTCAGCAGCTACACGTGTTATAGACGTTTTATAAACTTCAGGTCGATTCATGACTGGAGAATTTCAAACTTTGGGTGCATTACTGCCATCTACTGGGCGGTGGGCATGGGCATTACAGAACTGAGGAACCTAAGAAAGGATTAATCAATGTTTTATTTCAGAAACTTTTTAAGTAAATGTTGTTTATTTCCAACCTTAAAACCACACGATGACATGTTTTGATTTATTTTATTATTTGAACTAAAACATAAAAACACATAATATATAATAATATGAATGTGGATACATTTGAAAACATTATTTTTAATTTAATAAGCTGTTTAAAAAACAGCTGATGACAAATTATTGACATGAAAATCAAACATCTTTGTTCGTGTCTGACTCACCTGTCCAGGCATCGCAGGAGGAGGAGGCCAAAAATAAGGGTTATTAAAGCGAGGCTCAGCCATCCTGAAACGAAACAGCAAGATCAGCT